AGGTACGTTTTTTATATTTAAAGGGTTTTAAAATGTTATATTTTATATATTTAAAGCGAGTTTTTTGGGCAGTGTAGAGTAGTGCTTGTTGTTTGTTATTTCTCCGATCACAAATGCAGACATAGTTTTATGTTACGCTTCAGCCGGACATGGCATCACAATATGGTAAGGGGTGTAACATTTCCATCAAACGCTTGAGGTATTCGGCCAATCACAATGCACTGGATAGCTGGCCAATCAGAGCACACCTTGCTTTTCAGACCGATGAGCTTTGTAAAAATCGGCGCGTTTCAGAAAGGCGGGGCATAGAGGAGAAACAATAATGTACAGTATGTGGAAAATAATGGTTTTTTTTAACCTTAAACCGCATAAACACATTTCATTACACCAAATACACAAAATAATGTTCTTTTTAGCAGCATCATATGACCCCTTTAAAGAACACTAGTCTCATGAATGAGTCATACTGACACTTCAGCTTTAACTCTTGCATTATTTAGATTATCCAATTAAAGAAATACACTTCCTCTTCTAGATGAGAAACAACCAGCAGCTGTAAGAGTATTTAAACCACACACACACACCATCCGTCAGCTCTCAACAATAAAACAAAAAGTGTTGTTTTTAAAAGTCTGAAATGTGCATTTTAGCTTCAACATCATGACACAAACTGTGCCGAATATTTACTTTCCATTGAATGCATCTGTCCACTCTTCAATTGAGCTCAGACCCCTAGTGTTTCTCTGTGTGAGTGTGTATGATTGTCTTTGACCCTGGCTGCTGACAGCACTGTTTTTTTCTGCTTTCAGCCATTGTTTTTATGCCAAACCCGTCTACCAAATGCACACAGATGAACCCTGAGAGAGTGGACCAGCTTGCTCAAAGATAACGATTGAATCCAAGCAGTGGCAATCTGTCAGAGGTGAGGGATGCTCAGCTCACCTCATAAATGTATTTAAAGGTCGCCCTGGTTTTGCTAAGTAAGACATGTTCCTGGATCCACATCTTTTGTTGATCCTGGATCAACATTACTGTCCAAAAATATAGACCTAACCAAATCCCTACCCCTAAACCTAACCCTACCCATGATTTATTCCTAAAATCAGAGGGAAATGATAAGTGAATAACAAGGGTGTAGAAGCATCTAACCATGATTGCAAGCCTAAAACTGACATTTCTTGAAAACTTATCCCTCAGTTCTGATTGGTTGATTGGAATGTTGTTCCAGGATCAACAAGGATTTTTGATCCAGGAATATGTTGTACTTGGTGAAATCACGTTCACCGTATTTAAAACATACCTAAAGCAATAATTAACTATGATGGTAAAGCTACAACTGCAATCTGATTCATCAGGTTGGTTTGATCAACATTTACATTTAATCATTTACATGTATTCATTTAGCAGATGCTTTAATCCATAGCAAGGCAAGCAATCTGTTATAAGAGCCAACAATATTTGTACACAATGCCAAGTTTCAAGTATAAGAAAAATTTTATATATATTTTTAATGAATTTATATTTTAAATGGTAAGTTAATTAATAATAACATTAATTTATATATCAGCATCCCTGGAAACCTCATGGGCTGCATTGGTTCCCTGCCAAAGTTTCTAGTTAAAGGAATAGTTCACCCAAAAATGAAAATGTACTCACCCTCCGGCCATCTAAGATGCAGATGAGTTTGTTTCTTCATTGAAACAGACGTGGAGAAAATTAGCATTACATCACTTGTTCACCAATGGCTCCTCTGCAGTGAATGGGTGCCATCAGAATGAGAGTCCAAACAGCTGATAAAAACATCACAATAATCCACAAGCAATCCACACGACTCCAGTGATGTAATAAACAAAACCATCAACAAGACATTTTTAACTTCAAATCATTGCTTCCGGCCTAAAATATGAGTCCTCCACCCATAATACTGTTTTCTCCAGTGAGGAAGTCATCTCATCTGAATCAGTAAAGAAATGTGCACAGATCAAGCACCGTTTACAAGCAAAAACAGTTCTAAATAAATATGTCAGTGAATTTTGAAGTGAGAGGACAACAGGGGATGGACTTTTCCGCTGGAGGAAGCGTTATTCTGGATTATGGACTTTCATTCTGACGGCACCCATTCACTGCAGAGGATCCATTGCTGAGCAAGTGATGTAACGCTAAATTTCTCCAAATCTGTTCTGATGCAGAAACCAACTCATCTACATCTTGGATGGCCTGAGAGTACATTTTCAGCAAATTTACATTTTGGGGAAAACTATTTATTTAAAACTAGGCTGAACTCTTAAAATGAAACCGATTTACACACTGCCTATTCAGAGGATTTGTTTGTGTTTTTTATTTTTTTTTATCGTTAATGCATCATCAGAAGAAAAAAAATATCATTTTGATTCCTATTTGAAACTCATTTGTTTTTAGTTCCTGTGGAGTGTTGTTTAAAAGTGCATTTCTGAGCATTTTGTGTTTTGAATATACATTTAAAACCGTCTGAGCATATTGTGCACTGGATTGTTTTCCTTTTGAATACAGAAACGTTTTGAGCGTTGGCGCGGCGTCCCATGAATTGTTGTCTGAAATGAGAGCGCGTGTTATTTTACATGCTGTGGGACAGACAGTGGATTTTTTTAAACATCCATTTCCCTCAGAGTCTGAGCGATTATTATCAACAACTTCCCCTCTAACTGACCGCAATTTCCTTTGGAGGCCAGAAGGAAGACTTTAAAAGCGGCCTATTTTCCCCTTACACACAGACAAGGCTCTCATTACAGATTAGCTGAATTGTGACATCATAGACAGATGATTCATTATGACATCACCAGCCTAACACAATTGAACAGTCGCTCTAAAACACTTTTCTGTTGTGTAGATGTGTGCTTGCTGATCTGTTTGATAGCATTATCTCTTCTTCTAGAATATTTTGCACACATCTGCAAATAAAACCGTGACATCATATAAAACGGCCATAAAATATGAGTCTTTGCCTCCCTGTCTCTCTTTAATGATAACTGAGACTCCAGCGCAGAGCAACTGGACAAGTGAATGAATTAATAATGGCATATCTCATATCTCATAAATAAAATGTTTCTACCAATATCTGATCTCTTAAATACCGGCAATCGACAGCGCTCGGTTTGCTTTTGGGGAAGTGCTTTCTAAAAGGAACATAAACCTTTAACATCGTCTTGCATGATCAGGATATATAATGGCACAGCATAATCAGTACTAAAGCAAGATATGGATACTGGCCTGTATTGTGCTGTGGATGTAGATATGAAATATTAACTTTTTTTTATTTCAGCAGAGCTTTATGAAAATTTGAATAGAAACATTTCAAATGTATTTATTGTCATGTCTTTTATAGATTTCTTTAATAAGATGTTTATATGGTCAGTCACACTGTGCAGAAATTGTATGTAATTGATTTGTTTTTGAATGTCATACAATGTGATCTCATTATTACTATTCATAGGTAAATGTGTTTAACACAGGCCTACTTTAGCTAACATCAGATTGATCTAATTAGACACTAAAATGGTTTTGTTCTCTTTGTATGATTTTTGAAGCCTGACAGTACTAACACATACAAATCAATACATTAGCAGAAAAAAGCTAATATGTTTCACTTCGTTTTCATACTTAGTTTAGTTAGTAATTAAATTAATCCATACCAAGACTGCAAATAATTATAAATACATTAAATAAATATTATTTAAAAATATTTAAAATTAATATAATGTAATTTTTAATTAAATTAATATAAATTGTAAATATTAGTATACATATTAAATATACTTTTAATTGGAATGTCAATTTTAGAAATTGTTAGGTACATTTATATTTTTACATTACATTTATTTTTACATTTTAGTATCTACAAAAAATGTGTTTTTGTACACTCTAAAAAATGCTGGGTTAAAAAGGGACAAACCCAGCTATTGGGTTGTTTTGACTCAGCAGCTGGGTTGTTTTGACCCAATAGCTGGGTTTGTCCCTTTTCAACCCAGCGCTGGGTTATATTTAACCCAGCATTTTTAGAGTGTATAGTTTGACCAGATGTCAGAGGATTTATAAACATTTCTCTATAGTTGCATATATTATTCTGTATATGAAAGGTTTTACATTTTAGATTCTGTCAGTACTGTATGTTAATATTTTACCCTTTAGTGTTTATTCAAATGTATATTTACATAGGAATGCATATGAATGAGATCACCCTGCATATACAGTAACTGGAATAACAGTGATTTTTGAGGTCTTGAGTTCTTGAGCTCATTTATCTTGTTCTTTTTGTCGTTTGAACTCTAAAACAGTCATCTGCTTGTTTAGTACAGACTTTACAGGGGCCTTGCTGATCATGTAAATGGATCAAACACTGAATTTGACGTGTCACATGAGCGTGATAGAGAGGTGCATGCATGCAGCTGAGAGACAGAGAGGGAACCCGGGATGCAGTGGCAGTGTTTGCGCTGACTTTGTTCTTGATGGTGTGACTGTAAATAACGATGTCTGCTGCATGAAGACATTCATCTCCCTTTAGGAGTGAAACCGCTAAACCTGTCAAGAACACGCCTGAGACATATTTCAGCTCCGAATCTAAAGAAAGAGGTAAGAAATTATATTTTGGCATTATAAATTTGCATTGTGACAATAGCTTTATGGAAGTTTGCATTTAGGCCTGTCGCAATAATCAATATATCAACTTATTGCGCAGTATATGTACATGACTTCAATCATTTTTGGTGACGCAATATATCGCACATTATATTTACTTAAAATTTATGTCACCTTGTACATTTCCACTTGTGCCTGTGTCTTTTGCAGCTTCTTGTACATAACGTAGATTAGCCATGAGGTGCTAGTTCAAATTTAAAAAATGCTTCTACAAAAAAAGTTTCATCTGCAGATATGGTCTTGTTTAGGGATCTGTGCCTTTGTGCATACGGACATCTGACAACAAAACGTTGTTATCGTGACAGGCCTATTTGCATTACTACCACACAAAAATATCTCTTCCTCATTGCTGTACTGTGGGAAAATAATGTTATCAGATATTTATACCTTATTGTAGTATTTGTTGTACAGACTTTAAGCTGATTTAGATGTAATGACACATGATAATCACTAATGAAAATAATGTGGTAATTACCAAAAAAACTCAAATCAGAACACACCGTGATGAGAATTTGAGAGGAAAACATGTTTAATTTTCATGAAAGTGAAATATAAATATTAACAGTCTCAATAACATTGTTTGTTTTTTTTCATTTTCTTTATGCATAATATAATTGTTTTTTTTTTTTCTTTTGATTTTGAAGTGAAAAGTGGCATGTTTTTGTGAAATGCACACTTAGCCTTCTGACTAATCTAACTAAGAGTTTCTGGGGCGGGTGACTTTGAATAACTTTTATTAATAATAATACTTTTATTTCATTGTGCTTGTGTGATTTCCATCAGAAACAGCTTTGCTGAATGGACTGAAGGCTGTTTGAAAGCACAGCGCGCTGGACGCTGCTCCATTCAGGTGAACGTTTTCATTGTTGTAGCCACAAAACCTCTCAGTATAGAGCTGCACAGTCTCCATTTTCTTTTGATTTCTTAGAAAAACACGGTGATCTGAACCAGAGATTTCTTTAGTTGAAGTTTCAGATCAGTTCATTGTTCACTAATGATATATAAAAAAAAATCTCAGTATCTCAATAATGATTCAGTTGTTTCTGAATGAATATATATACAGTGGGTACGGAAAGTATTCAGACCCCCGTTTATTATTTATGTGATGAATTATGAGTGACCCCTGCTTGCGTTATGTTACGTCATTCAACTTTAATTTTGAGGCCATGCCCTTCCCCCAGTCAAATAATCTCTCTTTTCTCCCTTCTCATGCTGAGAGATAAGCAGTTGGATGCGTGTGAGAAAATATCATATATGGTGTTAAAAATAAATGACAACGGATGAGAATTTGAGCTCCATAAGATGAGGCATGTTACACCTAGGAACATTCTCTTGCCATTTACTGTCACTGTCATATGCTGTACATATTTGTGCTCACTGTCAGGAGCGATTTTTTTAACGGAAGGATAGAATTTAATGAATTTACTAAAAAAAAAAAAAAAGAAACATCAATACTGTGTGGTAACCGTTTTATGAAAGCAATAAAGGCACACACACACACACAGACACACACAGATAATTGTTTTGGTATTTCCAGTGGATTTTAGAAGTTACTGTATATAGGCATAGCTTAATTAACATTTTTATTATTATCACAGAATCTATAATAATTTCTATTGAATTGGTTTATTTTAGTCTTTTCTTATAAAAATCATTGACCAAATTTTCATTTTAATGATCCAACCTTTTACCTCAGTTAAAGAATTTTCATAAACTTGAAAAAAAAAAAAAACCGGTAACACTTTATTTTAAGGTGTCTTTGTTACACATGTTACATGTACTTACTATTATAATAACAATAAATTATGCATAATTACATGCAAGTAACCCTGTAAGCCAAACCCTAATCCTAACTCTAACCATATAGTAAATGCATGTAGGTAATTAATATTAATCAGTACTTAAATGTATTATTACACGGTAACAAGGACACCTTCAAATAGTGTAACCAAAAAAACTACAGAGGAGGATTTTGCTAAATATATGCACATATTCATTATATTTTTACTTAACATGTTTGTCTTTAAATGTTTATGTTTCGACAACAAATTGGAGTAGAACAAAATTATAGAAAAAGAGTGATGAAAAAACTGTCTTATGTGCAGTTTAAATTGTTATATATAACTCAGTATTAATTGTTTATTATTAATTAATTAATTGATTATTAAATTTATTTTATTTCCAGTTTTTGGTTAAGTGAAAACGTTCTTTATGGTCATCATTTGATGCTTCACTGTTATCACTATTTTTACTTTGGAAATAAAATTGAGGAAAAATATGATGAATAGGACTGTCTGATTCACCTCTGTGTTAAAAAAAAAAAAGCAAACAAAAATACAATAATGAATTTCAACTTGCAGAATTGCAATTCTTAATCACAATATATTGATTCGGCACCCCAAGTGTCTTGATAGCACCGTAAATATTGTCACTGTATTTTTACAGTGGATTTCTGGTGAGCACAGCTGCCAGTGCTTAACCGTACATTTAATAGGATATTTTTTCACATTGTAAGAAATACATTAAGTTAAAGCTAAAAGAGCAACATCTGAGTAATGAAATCTTTCTCTGGTTTGTATGTGTGTGATTGAGCCATGATCTGCTCATTCTTTTGGAAGACAATGAATGTGTTTTAGTCTCTATAGCTGTAGTTGTAAGTGTGTGTGACTCCAAATCGAGGTTAAAACACTTCAGGAGTCAAACTAAACGGCGTACACAATCACATGGACTCGACGGTTTTTTCACGTCTCATTATAAATGTTGTTGTTGTTGTGGAGCTTTTGTGTCCAATACTGCACTGCACTATTCATTCAATTATCTCCATTCAAAGCATTTCTCCACATTGCTATGTACTGTGGAGTGTGCTTACAATGCATTCTGGATTGATTTTGCTCCTCTCTCCTCTGTGCACAAAATTTGACTATGAAATCAGCGCACCCATCTCAGTAACACAATGGAGGACAGCATTTACGGCACCACAACAATATAGAGACTGCAAAATAGCTGAGAGTGCAGGATGAGAGTCATGGATAATGAATACAGGGGGGAAAACAAAAACAAAGTCTGTTTATTCAGGTCTCATGGTCGAGACAAGCTTCTCTATTACTATTAAATATAAATGACTATTAAACGGTAAATATTAAATATTGGCATGTAACTCACTTCACAATTTATGCTATTGTGCAATTAATTTTTTCAGTGATCAGATCTAAAATAGGTATGCACTGAAGGAGTATGTGTGTATATATATAGAAAATAAAATGACAGAAACACATAAAAATACCCAAAATTTTAATAAAAAAAAGAATATATATATATATATATATATATGAAAAATAAAAACTGTAATAGTATATAAATAATACAAAAATAACTCTACAGATAGAGCTATTACAAATTTGAAAATTTTACATATGTAAAATGTAAGATTTGAAAAAGTTAGAACATCTATACTTTCATTTCATTTTATTAAATTATTTATTTATTTATTTTGGAATATGCTCATAAGTAATATTAAATTAATATAATAATGTTAAATTAAATATATACAGTACTTCCTTGGGGCTGAGCCAGTAAAAAAAAAGTATTTTATAATATGTTGTTTTTATTTTATTTTTTATAGATTGTGTAGTGGGTATTTATGAGCAGAACTTTGTTTAAAAAAAAAATATAGGCATAATAGGAACGCTACGCTGTTTTAATATGAAGGAATTTTTCATATTTATTTTACAAGTGTTTTACCTGTACTTTGAATTTTGCACCTCATTGTTTTGATTTAGAAAAAAATGTCTGTAAAATTAATCGATAATGTTTTGGCAGAATATTAACAGTAAATTTTCTTTTTTCAAATTTTTTTTTTTAGTTTTTTTTTTTTAGAGCTAATTGATCACAATGCACACATTTGACTTTTTCATATCACTCTCTTTGATCATAGCATGAACAGAATCATAGTAGACTTCTTTAATGTCAAAACATCTCTAGGAAGGCCAGACTGCAATATTCCATCTTCTTGTGATCTTATGTCTTGCTAAATCTAAACATTTAGTCAAATAATTACTTCAGTTCAATTCGGTAATCCAGGAATAATGTCCTTTTGGTTTGTACAGTGAAATATAATCTGTCAGCTGCTCTGTTTTAATGGAATTTTCCTGTCAGGACCGGACGGAAAGAGAGAGAGTGAGACAGAGAGAGGTCTAATGGGAGACATGGCTCCGGTTTTACAGCGTCTCATTTGGCTACTAAAGACCTCTCTCTCTCTCTCTCTCGTACACACTCTTGCTGTTAATGCAGAAAGCAGGCAGGCTTTTCTGGACAGATTGGCAGAATAGTAGCACTTAACCCTGAGCTAAATCTGACATCACTGAATATCCAGACAGCACTCTGTGGAGTGTGAGAAAATAATAGATTTAGAGATTGCAGGGCAGACAATATTTGTATGCATAACGGGGCTTGTGGCTGTCCTAATTTGGATGCTACTTTTGCATTTTGGGAGACAACTATTCCTCCATTTGCAGAAGAGAGATGAGCCGCATCTTTCTGAATATTATTCCTCGACAGATGACGTAAATCATCAAACTGCGGCATAGAGTATTATTTGATACATTCATATGAGTGCTTACAATTAGAAACGGGACTCGTTATACATTTAAATAGAGATTTCAGTAACCATATGCAAATAAAAAATATAATTGGTACATGAGCACAATCACGATTTTCTTGAGATTTCTTTGTGCAAATTGTAAATTAAATATTATGGTGTTAGTAAATTGTTATTATATCAAATAAGTTGTAATTGTGAATGTTGCAATTTATTTAGCATTTTATGTCTTATTAGGAACAATAATACAGGTGACAAATCTACCCAACTATGCTCTATAGCAGGGGTTTTCAAACTGGGACCCAAACAAGGAGTGCTAGGGGTCCTTTGAAAAGTTTACAGAAAAACAGTATGTATGAATGAAAAATAAGTACATATAACAGTACATTTCTGTAGTGAATAAAAAGCAAAATGTACAAAGTTTACAGAAAAAAACTGTAAAGATGGAAAACAAAGATAGTAATAATACAGATAGGATTTTAAATAATTAAATTAAATAAATAATTAGATTAACGTAAACATGATTTAAATATTAAAATAAGTACATAATACATTAAAAATAAGTGCATAAGTATAAGTAAGAATGCATATTACTGTAGTGAGTACAAAAGCAAAAATAACAGTTTATAGAAAAACTGTAAAAAGACTGATAAATGAATAAATAAATAAAACTAAATAAATACATAAATAAAGATAAGATTAAATAAGTAATTTAAATAAGTGTTCGCGATGGCGCCGACGCTGATGGCTGCCTCCGTGGCGTGCTCCGCAGTTGTTTTTATGTTTTTGTTAGTTTGTCCTGTCTTTAGTTATATCCCTGCGATCAGTTTCACCAGAGACGAATTGCTGGACATTCGGAAGTACACACCACCCGATATTTCACCGGTTTTTGATTATTCTGATGTTTTGCTGGACATTGTAGTCAGGGGAGCTGTGGCGCTGATCAAGCGCTTCAGGACGCGCAGACAGGGGAAGCGAGCCGGCGCGCTCGTGAAGCTCAGACAGCGCGGATTCAGAACGCCGTTGCCAAGCATCCATCTGGCAAATCTCCGCTCTCTACCCAACAAAACGGACGAACTCCTTCTGCTCTCCCGGACAAATAAGGATTTTTCAAACTCTGCTGCTCTGTGTTTCACGGAAACCTGGCTGAAAGACGCCATTCCGGACAGCGCGTTGAGTCTGCCGGGCTTTCAGCTGTTTAGAGCAGATCGCGACGCAGAATCAACGGGGAAATCGCGCGGCGGCGGGACATG